AACAAACAAAAATGTATTTTGTTATTTATGTCTCGTAACCTGAGAACAATAGGTGATTCAATATTTGTAAATCCGAAAGAGTATCTTATTTTCATAACTCGAAATGACATGTAGGAGCTGCCAGGAGACGGTCTTTCTGAATAACTTAAGGAAACCCATGACAAGAAAGGGTATTAATCTTAGAATTATAGCAGGTATGAACAAAAACGACGAAATTTTAAATGATTGTCCAGGCTACCTACGGGCAGCACGTACTTATTTCAATTCATGTCATTCAGACTGTAAGGATTGTTTATTTCGCGAAGATGATTTGGAATTTACTTTAATGAGATGACGCTCAGCAACTCTGGTCTGTCTAAAAATGAGCCTGTTATATAGACCAGTTCAAGCCAACTTAATATTATGTTTTCGATAGCCAATGTCCACTTTTGCTACCATTAAAAGACTAACATTTACGATCAGCTCTCGTACGTATTTCCAAACAGGTAATTAATTAATGATACCTGTTTTTACGTTTGATTGGTCCCCATCTCCCACCAAGTTGACTAGATCGCCTAACAATAGGCGATACTACCCCGTGTTGGCAACCACAGGTATTAATCAAAGGTACAGATTAGGAAGTTCCCGTCTGTATTGTGCGTAGAGGATAAAACACCCAAGCAAAGTTTGTTATCGAAAGGTGGGACTGAAGTTGAAGAAAACGTCGTGTATTCCAAGCAATAATATGTTATGTATGCAATACGTTCAATTGCCCTTACACAGTTCGTGTCAATGTTTGTTTTCCATATATCTTTCATAAGACAAAGCACTTACTATAGTTGAATAAGGTATGCCTCGTAAAGTTAAGTGTTAGAATGTAGTCCTCACATGTCTGTTGCTTTCCAGAACTAGGGTATCATTAGTCTATAGATGGAGTCCCCGTCGCGTTATTCTTTTCACATGTACTACCATGTTTTTAAAGAAAATATTCGTTATGAATAGAAGGATTGTGTTAATTGCGAAAACAATTCCGATTTCACGAAACCAGTGTGATTTACTATCTTCAGTATGAAAAAGACCGTTTATTTGAGTAGCACGTTAGGAATATTATGCGTTTGCGAGGTGCCACGGAGCTCCATTTCTAGAGACATCTGCAGGAGATGAATGCACGTACTTTTATGAAAACCAGTTCCTTTTCGTATAGTGAAATGTATGAAAGTGCATAACGCTGTATTATTTCTTGTCAACAGCCCTTTGCCATGTGTTCCACACTCATGGCTTTCTGTTACCCCC